TGTCAAGGCTGCCTCAAGTCTTAGCTCACAAAAGACCAACGCCTATGTCTTCTTATATACAAAAGTGTTTATTGCAGTTCATGGTTTGCTTGACATCCTAGGCGCGCAGCCTTACGTCTCTTACGCTAGACCGCCGAAGTCCCCTCTGAGTCAGTTCCTCCCCTGCACCAATTCAAGAGACTTGCGCTGCTCCACCTCTTTCTCTCCTTCCTTTTCCGCAGGGTCCTTCTGCCCACTGGGGTTTCGCCCCTCCTGGATTCCTCTGACGCGGAATCAGACTGCTCTTCCCCCCCTCCTGCGGGCTTTGGGATCTGGCCCCTCCTCCGGGCTCCCTGCACTTCCGCGCGCCTCTACATTTGAACTAGGCGCGCGCGCCAAACCTCTAACTTTCCTTTTGACAGTTACACTACTCCCTTCACTGCTCCCCTCCCTTCCGGGAGGGCGGCTTGCTCTGACCCCCTCTTTTCTCTGCTGCCGGAGCTGCTTCCTCTGACACACTGGAAACTCCACCCCTTCGCTGCACTCTGGTGGGGAGGCTGGTCCTGACGCCCAGCTGCCACTTTGGGATCCTCCGCTGGCACCCTGCTCCTGACACTTCCCCCTGGGGCTCCTGGCCTTGACCACCGGCGCCCCTTCTGGGAATCCTCTGATTCGCTGGAAAGACTCATGGAATCTCTTGAGTCATTGTCATCCTCTTCCTCGCTGGCTTGGAATTCCTCCCCATCGCTCTCCATCTCCTGCCTACCCTGTGCCTCTCTCCCTGAACCCCTGACAAATGGGTATCTGCCAAAGGCCTTAACTTTTCCCTAGGAAGATTTTCATTTGAAGACTTTCTTGTTCAAGGATTTCAGTGTCCTATGTATGTCATTGCAAGAATTCAGGCTTAGACTTTGAATGAGCCTATTGGCAGCCCAATTCCCTTCATGGAGGGAACAAACAAACCAGGAAGTATTCCATTGAAATAGTTCCCCGTGGATTAGTTTCAGTAGGCTGTTGATTGATTATTTAATTTCTATACCGTTTAATATATTTAAAAATATCTCCAAGCAGTGTACAAAAAACAGACAACCGAAACAAAATATTACAAAAATACACAGCCACATATAAAAATATCACCTTAATACTAAGTAACTGGTATATAATATCAATCAGTATCAATTCATTTTCCTTCTGACACAGTCTCCCTCTCAGACCCCGGGTTCTCACCCCAGGTCCAAACAAACTCTCAGCTCACCCATAGAAGTATCACAGCGAGAAGAGTTCCTGGAAACAGCAGATATCACCCGAGAGTCAGTCTCCCTTGCTCTCTTTTTTCTTTCTCTTGGATGATACTGTGGGATGTAACATCACCGAAGCAGTCAAATACAACATTTCCTGTTTGCCCAGAGTGGACACACAGGGGAATGTTGCTCCAGCCAGGAGGACTTCCTGTCACACCTGGTCTGGAGCATCCTCCACCTGCATGTGACCAGGTAGATGGGCGTGACTGTGGCAGACCCTATAAAGGGACCAGTCATGCAGCCATCTTCCTCTTGACTTTCTTGATCCCATTTCTTCTTGATGCCTTTGCTGTGTGCTGGCTCTCAGCCAGCCACACATGTGCTCATCCCACACTTTTCTCTGTAACTGTAACCACAAGCTAATGCCTGCCTTCAGGACCATACTGTGTCATTATTGTTTTTAAGAGGGAACTAAAGGGAATTTAAAGGGACGTGAATGGCGCTGTGGGTTAAACCACTGAGCCTTGGGCTTGCCGATCAGAAGGTCGGTGGTTCGAATCCCGTCGACGGGGTGAGCTCCCATTGCTTGGTCCCTGCTCCTGCCAACCTAGCAGGAGCACGTCAAAGTGCAAGTAGATAAATAGGTACTGCTCCGGCGGGAAGGTAAATGGCATTTCCGTGTGCTGCTCTGGTTCGCCAGAAGCGGCTTAGTCATGCTGGCCACATGACCCGGAAGCTGTACACCGGCTCCCTCGGCCAATAAAGCGAGATGAGCGCCGCAACCCCAGAGTCGGTCACGACTGGACCTAATGGTCAGGGGTCCCTTTACCTTTAAAGGGGATTGACCAGGAACAAGCCAGACTGGATTGCTTAACTCAAATGGTTCTAATGAATCCATCAACTAGATTCCTGCAATGTACAAGGGAATGTGCTCTGCTACTAGCTCACTAGTGTGAGTGGGGAGTGTTTTTTGAGGAGAGCTTTCTGAGAGGATGTTTTTTTCCATCATTGTATCTTCATGTACTTGTGGACAATTGACTGAGAACTGTAAGTAAGCAACGAACTTTATTTTATTTTTTTCTTCGCTCACCACTCCCCTGCCTTCCGCAATACTCTCTAAGGTGCTTTAAGACAATTCCAATTATTGCGGATATTTCTCCTAATCTCCACTATGGGCCATGGCAAGCGGCCAAGGGACCTGGATGAGGCAATGCCTCCCCCGAGGCCCAAACAGTCTAAGATTGATTCTTTCCTTCTTAACTGGAGCAGAAATAACAAGGAAGATAGCTACACGGTTGAAACTCACAATCGTTTTAATCCTTTAATTGACCTCGTACCCGATATAGAAGTGGAGGGGTGAACTCGAAGGCAACGAAAATGCTAATGATAATGACAAAGAAGTGAGAGTCACCTCGAAGGGGAGTCCGAGCTGGCCCTGGGCGATGGTTTGGGATTCGAGCATTTCCAATTAATAACCAGGACCCTGCGCTGCATCTTTAAGAGCATAAATGGGATCTCCATGCAGGTGAATAATCTCCACCAAAAGCTTGAGGCCCATTTGCTGGAGCCGCAGCACAACCTCACTCTGCCTCCGAGGGATTTAAAGAGACAGTGGTGTACCTCCCCTGTTAGACATGAAAGTGGTACTGGTGTTCATCTCCTAAAATCTCAACTGGACTCTCAATCTCTGATCTTACAACCAAACAAAATATGTCTAACTATACGCAGCAGTGACCCCAGGTCCCCAAGGTGGATTAACCCGAGAGAGGTCAAAGATCATCTAAGGCAACTCCTACAGATTAGGCCTCCGCTAATAGATCTCAGTACAGTGAAACTTTTATACTACCACCATCGGTTCCAAAAGTACTGCTCTCCTTCCAGTCACCAAAAATTCCCTCCATACTGGTTAGGCGCAAAGCGTTATTGGCCACCTGGGGCATCTTCCCAACGAGAGTCTTTAATGACACCAGGACTAAACCTCTTTTCCGTAGCATCGTACAAAAAGGTATCCGCTCGCCAGACAGGCGCGATATAGTCTCGAAACTCAAGCTGTCTACCCAGGAACCTCACCCTCCCTCTCAGCCCAAGCTTCCTGGTTTATCTACCCCAGCAACAGAGAAGCATGACCAAAGCGGACCCAGTCATCTGGCTTCCTCAGAGGAGAGGGACCTTATTTCATCCTATGGCGAGTTGCCATTAGTAGAACAGCAGGAAGTTATAAACAGGCTTGATACACTCAAGCAGCAACTTACACATGTACTTCAAGAGAAAATCTCCTCAAAACCTGGTCATAGCAACCTATTAAATCAAAGGAACGCAGACATGAAGGGACTAACACCCCAGAAACCCCTGCCAATCACTGGGACTCCAATAACGGATGATATGGCAGTCTGCCTGGCGGAAGCTCCTCATACACCGTCGCAACGCAGACCCTCTTCACCTCTACTAATAGATTTGCAATCAACTACCTCGTCCCTCGCCTTAAAGAGCAATATGCCAATCACCATTCATACAGGTAATCTGTCAATGTCCTATTCTTCCATGCCTGACCTGGAGTCCTCATTCAGTGCGGTCCAGGCAGAAGACTGTATATCCTCGTCCTTTGTCAGTCAACCCCGTTTGGTAGAACCTCTTGTATCCGTAACCTCTTCAAGCCAATATATAAACGCTAAGGAAGCCACTGTGCAAAGAGACAGCTCAGGCTTTATTGAAGACCCTGCTGGCCACATCAATCAAATTACCACCCCTTCGATACCTTCGGCTGTATCACGCCTGGCGCGGTCTCAGACCCTTGGCAATGCTTCTTCCACCAGCAACCAGAGTATCTGACTAGCACATAGTCCCTCCCCAAACTGCTTCAATGTGCTATCCTGGAACGTGGCGGGATGGACGTCCAAACAGGATGGCGGGGATATGATAGAGTTTTTAGCGAAATTCCAGATTATGGGTATACAAGAGACCTGGTGCTTAGAATCGTCACCCCCCCCTTCCCTACTGGGCTATGATGCTTTTGTGATTCCTGCGACCAAAACACATTTGCATGGGCGCCCTAGTGGAGGCCTGGTAACATTTGTTTCGCAGGAGCTTCATCTTAATATCTCTCCTCTCCTTTGGTTAGAGAGTAATTGTATTCAAACTTTGCACATCACTAACAGCCCGGTTGGGGACTTCATATGTGTTAACTTGTACAATCCATCTACCTACTCCTCTTCCCATACAAATCGGTTTTGGGAGGATCTAAGATTTATCCTTGATAAATCTGTGGCTGAATTCCCAAAGTCAGAGATCCTCATAATGGGGGACTTTAATGCCAGAATCGGAGCAGATATAAGCTCATTCACCGATAAGTCGCAACTATTCATAGAAGAGGAGTGGTTTCCTACGTGGAATTCACATGACAAGACCATTAATAGGGCTGGCATCATACTGCTGGAGTTTACCATTAACTGCGGGCTGCACAGCATGCATGGTACACCCAAAGACTGGTCCGGGGGATGCTATACTTTTCTAGGATCTAGAGGGGCAAGCGTTATAGATTATATCTGGTCCTCCTCGGCACTTAATGATAAGGCATATTGTTTCAATGTGTTCAATAGAACCGAAAGTGACCACCTTCCTATTGCCATCTCCTTCCACCACACACAGCTGGGGCTCCCCAGCTCACTCCTCCTCCAGGATTCACTGACCTTAGCCCCGGTCGTAAGAAGTGGGATATCTATCTGGAGCAAGACATAAAAGTCCTCCTAAATTCCCCTGAGATCCTAGCCCTGAAAGCTCAGCTGGTAACAATGAATGTGAATCATTTCTCAAGTTTCCAACAAATTCTAGCCTACTTGCTCCCATCACTTACGAAACCCTCCCGTGCGAGTCTAATCTGGAAGAATCAAACTTGGTTCGACCAAGAATGTAAACAGTGCAGAAGTAGGCTTAGATCTCTTCAGTCTGATATGAAATCAGACAGCACCCAGAGCAAAATCAGGGAGTTAGCCCAATTCCGTTCTTACTACAAGAAGTTGCTCCAACATAAGAAATTGATCTTTGCGAAAGAACGCTGGACGGCATTGTCAGTGGCCATTAAAACCCGTGATGACAAGAAATTCTGGAATTTAATTAATGCAGGTTTAAGACCCCCCTCATTCATCGTTAATAACATTACAGCAGCCAGTTGGCACTCTCACTTTGCTCAGCTGTACTCCGCCCCAGATTCCGACGTAAACGCAGTTTCCACTCTTCCTGCATCTGCCTTGCCCACCTGGGAGCCAGTCTCCCCAGAGAGATGTGTACAACTAATTAGCATGTTATCAGGGGATAAATCCCGGGGAGGATATGATTCCACCCGAGGTATTCTTATTGAACCAGATGTGGTGGGCCCCTATTTTTGCATCTCTCTTTACCACTATTAATGCCACTCTTAAGATCCCGCCAAATTGGAAACAGAGCATAGTCATCCCAATACATAAAAAGGGGACCCACAAGATCCGCGTAACTATCGACCCATCAGCCTGCTAGACATATCATACAAGGTTTACTCTAGATTCTTGCTAGAGAAATTAATCGAGTGGGCAGAAGAAACAAAGCTATTCCACTCGGAACAGGCTGGCTTCCGTAAAGGTCACAGTACATCTGGCCAATGTCTTGTTCTATTTACCCTGATTGATAAATACCTAAACAGGTTTAACTGCAAACTACACGCGGCTTTTGTGGACCTGACCTCCGCTTTTGACTCCATTCCCAGAGATAGGCTATGGCAGAAGCTTAGTTACACCAACATAGATAAGAGACTCCTCCTTCTTCTTATGGAAATTCATAATGACATATCGGCCAGAGTAAAATTCGGCCCCTGGGAGCTCTTTCTGATTCTTTCCCTCTGAATAAAGGGGTCAAACAGGGTTGCCTCTTGGCCCCTTTTCTATTCAATTTCTATATCAACGACATCGTTACAACTATGCAGGCCCTAAATCAATCTGCCCCCTCTCTACAACAGCTCAAGATCCCCATATTACTCTATGCGGACGACATGGTGATACTGTCTTTAACCAAGCAGGGCTTAAACAACATGCTCAGAGGGCTCATGACATATTGTGATACCAATTCCCTCAAAATCAATTTCGCCAAAACCAAAATTCTTACTTTTGGCACGAAAACTCGGAAGTCATTCTGGAACTTTGAGGGCCACTCTATTGAATATTGCTCAGCTTTCAAGTATTTGGGAATCACTTTTCAGCATGGGCTTAGCTGGTCAGCTCACCTAAATATGACCATCCTGGCTGCCCGTAGAACCATCAAAGCCTTGGAGAAATTCTTCTATGCAAAAGGCGGCCAGTTGGTTCCACCAATCAGAAAAGCATTTATTAGCAAAGTCCTCCCGATGTTACTGTATGGGGTTGAAATCTGGGGGTGGAATTTAAAAACACTACAACGGCTGGAGATTCTACAAAACTCTTTTGCACGAAAGATACTGGGTCTCCCCAAGGGCTCGGTTGCTGCTCAGTTAAGAACAGAACTGGGCCTCCCTTCCATTGTTGCGAGAGCCCACATTAGAATTATTAGTTTTTATTGCAAATTAAGCAATGCCCCTGGTTCCCTACTAGCCAGGCAAGCCTTTTTAACTTGTTCTCACTCCAACAAATGGTCCAAGGCCATGGAGACTATTACCGTACGCTACTCCCTCCCAGAATTCGACACGTTGTCATCTTGGGACCACCATAAAATCCGGGCCTGGATTCTTATAAGAGATGAGGCCATGGACCGGGCACAGTCCACCTCAGCTCGCCTCTCCATGTGGCTCCCTAAAGTGAAAGTGGTAAGATCACTTGCCAACTACTTGATAGACCTGACGGAGCCCAATTTGAGAAGAGCGTTTACAATGGCCCGTTTTCATTCTATACCCACGGCCTTCCTGCAGGGGACCTACTCTAAGACCCCTATTACTCAGCGTCTATGTCCATGCACAATGAATGAAGTAGAGGACTTCATACATTTCTTTTCTACTGCCCTATTTATGACCCAATAAGACCTAAGCTCCTCCTCTTGATCCCGTCCTCCATTTCATCTAAGGAAGACTGTATGAAAGCACTTCTTGTGGACGCAAATCCCCAAATTTCACGTGGGGTGGCAATCTTCACAGTGCAGGCTCTGAAACTCAGGGCTACTCTGACAGGGTAGTGTGCCCTAGTCCTGGACCTGTTTAATTCTTTTATTACCTTTTTAACTCAATGTGCTGAGCCTATTTTGGGGCCTTTTTATGCTTTATCTATATTCGCATATTAGTTTTTTTGGCGCTGGCAACCAAATCTCTGTATTATTGTCTTAGGGTGTTTTAAATGTCATTACGCCAGCAATATCGCTCTGAATTTTGCTTGGTTGCTTGTCCCCAACATTTTTTGTATTATCTTATTTTGCTATGGCTGT